CTGGGTACGCCTTTTGTCCGTCTCTGAGATGGTCTCCTGCGACCGTTGCACCACAAAAAAACAGCAAAGCCTGGCATGAAGAGCCTGTGGTCTAACCATCAGAGTACGAAGGTTAGCTATAAGAGAGCCGTCACCTTTGTTGCCTTATGCCAAGTTGACGCGTGTTTCGCTCCCTCGCCGTGACGGGCACCCTCACCGACCAACAATATGCGGTCACCGCAATGGTTCGTGATCCGGCTAGCGCTGCAGCTTTGCCTCCTTGGCCGACACAACGATGCTGTCCAATTCGGCCTTTAGGTTTGAAGTTGGTGCTTGAAGGCACCGGTCCCGGTGAATTTAGGTACGCAAACACATCATGACAGCCCCGTCGATATGAATCATGATCTGCGGACGTCGGAAATTACCCCAAAGTACACATTGCCGACCACCGGAATTCAGAGATGGGCCGGACGGCCCTGTATGGCGACACATTCATGGTGGACGGTCTCAATGGCAAAACGTACATTGATGCGCGTTCGTTAGGGTGGTCAGGCGTATTCTGCCAACCGTCGTGCCGAATTGCGCGGCCCATTACCAAGCATTTCGTCTCGCCAGCTCGACGGCCAGACAGCCCGTCGCACGCAGGGTAAACAGGTAGAATGCATTAAATGAAGGGGTGTCAGGCTAGTAGACGGTGAGGTTTGATAGCGATCCCCTGATATTGTTGTGCGTCGCATCCCTTGCCGCTGGCTGGTAACGGAAGTGTTTGATGAGCTCGAGCGGATGATGCGCGAGAAACTCGCCACCATCGGACTAATCTGTCGTACCTCGCGCTGCGGCGGCTAACCTTCGTCACCTATAAACGCCTTCTCCGATGTGCCAGAGTCGGAAGAAAGCTGAGGAGAGAGAGTCGACCGAGTTTGCCCTTTCCGGGAGCCTGCGGTGCACCCCCACGACACCGACTCGATGTTGCTGCAGGTGAAGGTCGAGAATCCATGTAGGCAAATTTGCCCCTCAACACTATCAGCGCCTTTCAGGTCCATCAAAACTCGGAGCGGCGCCCAAGCTGTTTGTCTCAAGACGACGAAACTTTCAACAGACTGACGCCTTGCCACGCGACCGCCACTCGAACTCTACGTCTCTGACAACGGCAAGCGCAGATTTCCATGGACGCCTTTGTTGATCCCACAATACTCGGTCGTTGGAGGAAGCACGCCGTGGTAGGTCGTCTCGACATGAAGAATCGCCCTTCGTGCCTACTTGCGAACCTGGACCACGGCAGGCGAGCACCTGGCCCTAGATTGCGGCCATCACGTGGGTCCTCTGAAACGCGTTCACCTCGCGGACCACCTGATTGGCTTCAATTTGGCTCAAATGGAAGACTTAATTCGACGTGTCATACGCAAAAGCAATCAGCAAAGTAGCCAGGCACGCATCAGCGTGGTGATCAACCACGCCCTACAGGAGCTGGCAAACAATAAAGACCTCGAAACTGCTTGATTGCCGGAGGGACAGCGCAATTACAGGGCACACAGCGTGGCCGCCGTGTTCAGTGGTCTGGACGGCTCAAACCAGCAGGTCGAGACGCGAGACGGGCCTGTACCGCATCCTGCAGGGCCTTACGTTGCCGAAGCGGCACAGACGACCCTCACAGACTATTCAAAAAGCATCCTCCATCGTCGACCGAACAATGCCTCCAGATGGCTGGCAACAGTAACGATCTGTCCCGAGAGCCTGCTCAAGATCTGGCAGCTAAGGCTACAAGTCCAGGCCTGGCCGGAGCCACTTGTGCTGAAGCCATTAACACCCGAGCGCAGGTCCGCGAAATTGCAGGCGAGCTAGCCCGCAAGCTCTACGAACAAAGACTAACCGACGTGCCGTGGCAGGAGATGCGTGAAAGATATGCTGAGTGGTACGCTTGCTCTAAGCCTGTGATCTCATGTTTGATCACTCGTCTCCGGGGAGTAAAACAGAGGGACCTACGATCAGCCGACCCGATCCGAGAAGCTGCAAGTCCACCACCACGACCAGACAGCAATATGTCTGTCGGACCGGCCAGCTTGCCGGAGAATATCCAAGTTGCCATCTCAAATAAATGCTCGGAAGAAATCGTTTTCGGCACAAGGAAGAGGTATCTAGACCCTGCATCAAGTACCACCAAACTGCGCGCAAGACCGGTTGACACGGTCGTGTTAGCTGCAAACCACAGGGCTCGTAGGCCACCCTGGCGTTGATTCAGCGGCTCGCCCGTGGACCGCAGGCTCTAACCCGCTGTCGAGATGCTACTTCTTTCTTCACTTCGCTTTGATGCTCGCCCGATGCCGCCGTTGGTGCACGCACTTCAGGACCTCTGTGAAGCGAGAGCATACAACGGTGAAGCTGGGGTCGCACGGTTTGTCAACTGGTCTCGCTCCTGAGCAGCGATCGACTTCGGCTCAGGATTGCCACCCCCAAGACCCACAGCCTTCCTCCGCAGAGAGTGGCGCCTATCAACCACGCTAGCGCGGAGTCTTTAGACCGGCCCGAACATCAGCGGGTAGATTGTTTACTGGGCGCGGTGTGAGTGAAGATGCATGTGCCAAAATAGTAGTTCTCTTCCAGCCAATAGCAAAATTGCCGCACCCCAATTGACGCTGGACCTGCGCTTAGAGATGGAGGGGCGACTTTTTACAATGTACAATGACTTGTGCTGTGCCGCAGAAGTAGCGGACGGGATGTGCAGAAGTATTGCCCAAGTGGGAACGATGGTGATTGCTCATCTGCGGGGCCAGCACTCATTGGTTCTGGCCAGCTCGGCTGCACCTCTGCGACGGCCAGGCTGCAACGAAGGATCGTAACCCAAGCACGTTCTGGGTGTGAATGTAGCACAGTCTGGTCCGACACAGCCTCATCTGACCAATACATAGCTCAGAGCACACCTTGGCTGATCGACCAATGTTCCTCCAGCCAAAGAATCCCAGGGAAGCATTCAAACCGATCATTTTAGATGGGCAACCATGGACTACGACACTGATTCCCAAAGCCTGCTGCAATCCGTGCTTGGATTATTCTCTCGAAAACGGCCGCAAAGGTCGGCAAAGCCGGCGTCACTGAGATCACGGAAACGCGAGGCCTGGCTACGAACGGATGCATTTCTGCAGCGAGATGATCTTGGCGAAGCTGACCCAGAGAGCGTTGCAAGGACTCTGCGCGCCTTTGAAAAGCTTGTTCAAGACGACTCGGATCGAGAGATAGATTTCGTAAGTATTCTTAATACACAGCAAACTCCAGTCTTTCGGTCTGTTGGCCTGTCACTTCCTGCCTACTAATATTAGTTCGCGGCGCAGAGCTTCCAACAACCCGGCCATGAGCGGTATCCGAAGCTTCGCCGCATGATCGAGAATCCGAATCGCGATCCGCATATCGACCCAGGCACTGTCATTCGCGTTAGTAAACGGAGAAGAGAATGCGACAATGCCATTCAAGAACTTTTGCATTTGGAACAGGAGAGAAAGAAGCGCCGAGTTCTGCCTCGTGAAGAGCCAGCTCATGGGTTCAATCTCGAAGAACCCGATGCCGACTTCGCCGTGTTGATGAGGAGGCATTTGGTGTCCTTGGATAATGCGTTGCGAAGACACTGGGTTTGCGTTTGCCAGAAATGCTCAGGGTTAAGCGTGAGACTGTCGCTGCCACAGCACAAAAAGGATCTCGAGGCTGAGGCGAGTTTCGAAGTATTCTTCGGTGTGCGGTCCGTACCTGCAACTGCATTGCAAGAAGCTAAAATCACGGTCAAGTATGCTTTCGAAGCTTTGTGTGATGACTTCTATTCGCTAACACTGTCGGTGCAGAGACCTACACAGCAGCACATTGAGGCGCTCATCTGAGCCTATAATTAGTAGCCCACCCGACTTTGCCCACATATGCCAAAGCATCACAGAGTCCCTCGATCAGCAAAATTGTTTGCATTTCGCTCTTGAGGATGGGATATTCCAGAGGCTTCGCCCGCAGCCAAAGACATTTGGTAGCGATCGAATGTCTCGGTCAGTATCCTTGTCGGCATTGTTCAACCACCAGCAACAGTTACTTCGTGGTGAATCGGTACTGCCACTCAAAGGGAAGCGGGTCTTGGCAGTTACACTGGCTTCAGCACTCCTTCCCTTTTTGGAGACACCGTGGCTGCAATTTTCCTTCAATCACTCAAAGATCCATTTTTTTGAGCCATGGCAGGATGGAGAACTCCCCGACATAACGAAACCTTTCCTGGCTCTGGAGCACGTTCCAATCGTCTCAGCCCGCAATAAAAACACCGGAGACAGCTCTGGCGCCTCGAAACACATGGTTCATCCCAACGCCAGTGTGCTAGCGCTAGGCATACTTTTGTGCGAGCTTCAGTATTGCACACCTGTGGAGCTGATGGCAAAGGACCCGCATGTCACCAGGAACATCAATGGTGATTTTTATACCTGTCTTGATAAGCTTCAAACTTTGGAAGACGACGCTGGTGTGGATTATTATCTCGCTACGAAGGCGTGCCTTACTGGAGAGTACTATCCCGTTGGACAGCACGCTGACTTCGAGGATGTCAGCGTTCAGCGCCTCTTTTACCAAAACGTCGTCAAACGACTTGAGGCTGTGATATTCAAGGCATGGGGCATTCGATTAGAGAACTTGGGCTCATTCGATTCTCGACAGAATGAATCCTGCTGGGGCTCTATCGGTCGAGATGTTGTCCGCTTCCATACAGGCAAGGCCGATTCCTCTAATGCAAACAATACAGCAAGGACAAATCCGCATCGTTCAATGTCTGACACTGCGCCCATGAACACATCCCTACGCCCAGATATCGTGCTACGGATATCGGCACAACCTTCTTCGGGATCGGAAGCCCACCAACACGTTGCCGAACCTTCAAAGAAGAGCCTGTACTTTTTTGATGCAAGCCACCAGACGGGTCCTGAACAAGAGTGAGGTGTTTCCCATTGGCTAGCTATAAGACTTTGTCATGCTAATGACCTACCAGGGATCCGCTCTCGGAAAGATGGATGGACAATCTGCTCTCCTCCATCTTTCCTTATGTTGACCATGGCTTCGACCTTCCCGAACCGGTGCGAATAGCGATTTTGGACTCTGGACTTGACCCTGAAAACCCATTCCTGGTTGAGGACCAACAACTAGCCAACCCACGGATTAAGGAAGCGCGAAGCTTTGTACATGGAACAGGACCGAGCGACATTCGAGACGAGATCGGACACGGCACTCATGCTCTTGGTCTCCTTCTTAAAGTTGCCCCATGCGCTGAGATCTATGTTGCCAGAATTGCGCGACGAGAAACTCTGGATCCCAGTACCTACGATGACATTGCCAAGGCAAGACTGTCTCTATACCAAAGCAGACTTTTTGGACTCAGCTAATAACCTATGCAGGCCATCGATCACGCAGTTGAACAATGGAAAGTGGACATTATTTCAATGTCATTCGGGATTCGTGAATATCACGAGCTCATGAGCACAGCTATATCTAATGCACTAAACAAGCGGACGTTGTTGTTCGCGGCAGCATCGAATGATGGAGCAAATCTTGGCAGAGCTTTTCCAGCTCAATACCCCAGCGTCTTTTGTATACACTCAACCGATGGAAACGGCAATCCCTCCAATTTCAACCCTACAGCAAGCGAAACGGACGTCAACTTCAGTCTTCTTGGGGAGCATGTCTCTTCTCACTGGCCGGCTGGCATGAACGGACACGATCAGACTGTCAATGTTATGTCAGGAACGTCGGTCGCAACGCCGATCGCCGCTGGCCTGGCCGCGTCGGTCCTGTCTTTTGTCCGGCAGCAGGATCAGCACATCGCTGTAGAAAGTGAAAGGCTTGGACCGTGGCTGAAAAGGGACAATTCCATGGATGCGGTCTTCAAGAGTATGGTCAGAGGGAGGCGGGGGGTGGGCTACGACTACATCACGCCTCATGTGCTCTTCGATAGCGGTTCGACAAGGGAGGATGTTTACGGAAGAATCAAGGATATCAAAAGGAACATGTACAAATACTAGTAGAAGCCTAGGAATGCTCAACCTCCAATCACACATGGTTCACTGATGTCTATCTCAGTTGTAGTCCAAGATTCGTTTAGCATGATTAAGCGGGAACGCAATAGACGTTGCCGTTCTCGGTCACATCCGGAACAGCCTCAGCAGTCTTGATATCAGCTCCATCCACGTCCTCAACCAAAACACATTCATCGTCATCGTTCTTCCCGCCAACGGTCATAAAGGCGCCCTTGGTGTGCTCTTCAAGCTTCAGTCTCCGCCCAAACTTGAGCCTTTTCACGCGGAACGCAAACACAAATTCCGACTCGCGATTAGACTCCGTCGCTTCGTCATTCGTTCTAGTCCAGTGGCCTTTCGGGCCAAAGGTCGTGCCCAGCGCGGTCACGTCGATGCCGAGGTTCCCGTTGACCGTCGTGTTCTGTGAAGTCGAGTATTTAATCTTGGCGCCCTTGACAAGCTTCATGCCCGTGACGATGAAGAGCTCGCTGACGAGTGTAAACTTCTGCCTGGGCTCTCGCAGCCATGTCTGCACGGCCGGTGCCTTGACGGCCTCTTCCACGTATTCCTGGGTCGGCTCGAACGCCAGCGTCGTCACCGAGTCGAAAGCGAACGTATTTGCCGTTTTGTTCGAATGCTCAATGTTCACCTCGGGACCAAGGGGCAGCCCACCAGTAGCCAACTGCAGGAACTGCGCATAGACACCCAAACCGAGCCCTTTCTCGGTTGAAACAGTCTTCTTCCAGTCGGTCTCTACGACAGCTGGTAATGCATCAGCCACGGCAACAACACTCGCTCTGTTCAGAGGGTATTGCGGTGCTGACGTGGAGCGAATTATAGACCCAAGACATAGCGGGCCTGTTGGTGGTGGATATATGAAATCGGATATCGGGCACAGAAAATATGTCTTGGTAAAAGACATGACTTCAAGATTCAGTTCAGATAGCGGGCTTTCCTTTAGGACCGACCGAGATGATCGAAGGAGCAGAACAAGAGTGTGTAGAGGGGCTCGGTTTCTATAGGCACGACCCGGTGTGTAACAATTAGTCAAGTGCCCCTTGGTCGAATCCTTCTGTCACACTCACGGGCCAATCAGTCGTGCATGTTGATCTAGCCAGGCACAGCGCCCCCCCCTTTCACCAGGGGCCTGTGTGCTCGCGCGAGCCGAGCCGCTGATGGCGGGCGGTTAGCGCGTTTTGTACTTGTACCTCATGTACCGCTACTTACATCCAGGCTGAAGCGGGGCATGAACCCGATATTCTGCAGCACCCGTCACACACTGGTTTTCAGATTGCCTGACACTTCCAGTTTATGCGACAATTCCACAGCCTCAGTCGCATTTTGCTACTCAAGACCTTTGGAACGTCCTTTCCATGTAGAGACTAGGATCGGCTTCCTGGATCTTTGGCCTCGCGACCGCCCACACGGCGCCCTCTCACCATGGAAAGTCTCGAGCCCGCGGCAGACGAATCGATGGAAGATGTCTTCCTCCACGATAATCTTAGCCCGACCATCGCAGAGCATGCGACACAATGCCAGTCTCTTTTCCACAAGTACATGACCATGGCGGAAATCGTGCCAGACCCTACTATCATGGACGACCAGCTGGCACGCTTTTCTCTGTGGGCATCAAACATGGATATCTACGGGCCGCTCAATGTCTCGCTGGACTACAGGCTCCGATTCAGTCCCACAGCCGCGGATATCATACATCAGCTCCTGGATATTATTTGCGATACCTTGCTGTCTTGTGAGTACTTCCCATACCGCATTCGGGCGGATTGAAGCACAAGACTAATAGGAGCCTCGACAACAGTGAAGCCAATCGACGACCGACCACCACAAATTTCGAGCAGGAAGAGACAGTGCATTTCAGTACATGGCAATTCGGGAGTCACAAGGAGAGCCGACGACGACGGAAGCGATTCAGAGAGCGATATCGATCCAGCAGAAGAGAACGTTTTGAAGATCACTGAGACAATCGGCGGAACATTGACGCGGCTCTTCCGTCTATCCAACGCCGTTCGAAAGTCCGCCAAAGCCAACCGGGCTCGCAAGATCGAAAGGTACAGAGACGACGAAGATGCAAACAAGGCCATAGACGAGTTGCGCCTCTACACCAAATGCTATATTGAGTTCCGATTCCCGGAGGCGCCGGAGGCGCTCCGCTCGGCATTGGTCGAAGCCAACGCGCTGCGACTTCGACGGCTGTATTATCAGCGCTCCCACCGAAGGCGCATTGGTCTGAGTATTCAGAGCCCGGAAACGGCTCCGGCCGTTGTTCAACTCCCCAAACTGACGGGGAGTGAGCCGGCTGTACGTTTTGCGGCGAGCGCGCTGCCAAAGCCTGCGACGCCCAACGAAATGCCGGCCCCTTCGCCGGCGCCAGCAACGAATGCGACTACTGCGCGACAGACTGCCGTTGCGGCCTTCTACGCCAAATCCACAACTGAGGTTCCCCGGGCCAAATCTGTTCTCGTGAACAACAAGTTGTCGTTCCCTTCCATACCACCGACGCAGCAGTGTCCATACTGCGGCGTCATTGTTGAGGTCAATAACACTTCGAGTTTATTGCTGTGGCAGTATGCAGATCATTCCTGTCGTCTTCACATGTGGCTAATATGCACCAGAAATCATGTCATCGGAGACCTGGAACCTTTTGTTTGTTTTTTTTCACACTGCCTGGAAGGAGGTCATCACGGGCACGGGACCGGTCCGCTCACATTCGAGACGTCGAAAGCCTGGTCCAGCCACATGCAGACTGCTCACGGGCATACATGGGAGTGCAGGGCCCCTTCTCACGATCCAATCGTCTTTGACCAAGAGATCCAGTATCAGCAGCATTCCATCAAGGAGCACGGCGTGCCTGAAGCACACGCTGGGACCCTCAGCAACGCCGCACGGAGGCCAGTCTTCGGTAAGGTTCTGGAGTGTCCATTTGGCGACGATTTTCAACCCTCGGGAAAGGTCGAATCCAGCGCTATCTTCTCGAGTGAAGCTCTCCAGTCACATGTCGCCGGTCATATGAAAGAAATTGCTCTGCTTGCACTGCAAAAGCTTCCCGGCGATGATGACGAGAACGCGGAGAACGTCGATAGCGACCAACCGTTAGAAGATAATGGGCCGGCCGAGGCTTTTGGAATTACACGTGCATCCATGTACAGCGTACTGGACGATGAGGACCTGGATTTCCAAGACGATGACGCTGGGGCTGCAGATGGCAATGTGGGACACCGTGAAGAGGACATCAGTGCACGGGTGACAGTACTCGGCCTAGAGGACAAAGTCGACTCAGCGATGACCAAACTTCACCTTGCGGTGCAGGCAGGTGATCTGCGTTCGGTTGAGTCCTTGATCCACAGCGGCGCAAGCGTAAATGTTCGGGACGAAAATGGTCAAACGCCCCTGCATTACGCCGCAGAGAGGGGCTTCATAGAGTGCATGGAAGTCTTGGTCAAGCACGGTGCGGATTTACATATCATTGACGACTCTGGAATTTCCCCGTTTCTCTGGGCTGTGGTTGCCGGGCAAGAAGGCGCCACTACAAGACTGTTGTTCATGGACGCCGATGCCAATTCATTCAGCGCGGATGGAAAGTCTGCGCTTGCTTGGGCAGCCAGTCTGGGATGGGCTCCGACTGCTAAAATACTTGTTGAACACCATGCCAGCATATCTGATACCCGAAATACGCAGCAGACTCTGCCTTTGGAAGAAGCGGCAGCTTCTGGCAACCTTCCCATTGTTCGATTGCTCCTCGAATATGGCGAGGATCCGAACCATCGTGATCGCGATGGTTGGTCTGCGATACATTGGGCAGCAGAGGAGGGCCACCTGGAGATTGTGCGTTTGTTGCTGAACGCTGGGGCCAACCCCAACGCCGTCAGCTCTTACGGTACGTCACCATTGCACTGCGCTGCAAACGGAGGGCATCTTTCCATTGTGAGCTTGCTCCTCCTACAGCGAGCCGACCCACTCAAATCAACATGCCACGGCTGGACTGCACTACACCACGCCGCCTTCATGGGCCATTCCCATGTCGTCCAGGGCCTCTTAGAAGACGACCGCATACGATCCACTGCCTCTCAGCAGGACAATCACGGCTGGTCCGTTCTTCATTTGGCCATCCACAGTCGAGATTTAACCACTGTCCGTATCCTGCTCGACGAATCTGTCATTGCAGAGCCTCACACCCTATTCGACGAAAGCGGCCTCACTGCAGAAGAATGGCTAGATCGCGGTCCGACGAGCCATTCCCAGAAAGCCACTAATAACTTAGCGTTCAGCAAGTCGCGCTGTTGCCGGGCCGTCACAAGCCTTCGCCAAGCTGTTACCTTAGGAAACGTCCCCATGATAAAGCTTCTGTTAAAATTGGGCCATGACATCAATGGCATGAACTCTGGAAGAAGGACTGCGCTCTACTACGCCGCAAAGAACGGCATGCTTTCCATCATGGATCTGCTGCTTGACCTGGGTGCGGATCCCAACATTCTCCCCGTGGGGCGGAAGAACTGGGAAGAATTCATTTCGCCTGGTGACGTTTTACTGCGGCTAAACCGAGCAGGATACTGGAAGCGAGATACCGATCCTGAGGTGGAGCGCCAGATTCGTCAGGCACTTAGAGCGCAAAGAAGTCAGCCGTCAGTGCCGGATCAACCAGCCTGGTTCGTATCGCACGAGTCGACTTTACCAATGCCGGACCAATCTGTCTCCCATGGGCCGGACCGACCGTCCTCAGCTGTTCCAGCACCGTCGACGCCACCCTTTCCGGATTCTGCAGCTTCAGGTAAATCGAAACGCTCGCCAGCGCCTACACATCAAAAGAATGACAATAAGCGCAAGGCAAGGTCAGGCCGGACGGATTGGTGGAAACGGCTCATAGGTGGAAAATAGCGCCCTCGGTCCCTAAAGGCGACAGTGAGGGTGACAGAATAGCTGTGAGTCGTCCCAGCCTTGAGCTTTGACAACAAGGTTGGGCATGTGACATGACTCATGTCCAACTATGGCAGCGGCTTCGATTCAGTAGATTCGATACTTGCGGATAGGGAGACGTCTGAGCAAAAAAAAAAGAAAACAAAAGAAAACAACCCCCGGCGCTCATGTCCGAATCAAGGGCCAAAGGTGCATTTAGACGCTTTGCGTGTAAATGGACGTCCTTCGACTGGAAGTTTTTTTTAGATTAATCCCCAAGGCAACACGCCAAGCACAATTATGAACACAGGCTCAAATTATCCTCGTGACTTAGCTCTGCCACTTCTCAGGCAGGAGTACTGCGCAGTACTTTATGAACCAAGGATGCGATTCATCATATGTCCGACTCCCGGCAAGGACTGCAGATGCTGTTCCACTCTTCGTCTCAGTGCGCCCTTAGGTAATGTCAAACCATACTGCTTCCCAATAATCAGGCACTCCACAAAAGTCTTGCAAGCCCGCTTCTGCAGCGATCCTGGAGGTTCCCTCGCTATCAACGCCCCTATTCCCTCCGGGATGGCCTCACCAATCAGCCACCCGTGAGCGGTCGCATCCTCTTGGCAGAGAATTAAGCATGCTGCCGAGGGTACGTTGAGAAAGCGGTCCTGTCCCTTCTCGTGGGCCTGCTGGGCGAACTGGAAAATACTGGTCAGAAAGAGACGTAATTTGGCAGAGTCGCGACTTTCGCTGATGACGAATAATTCATTAGCGCACGCCTGATTCGCATCGCTGAACAATGCAACCTCGTAACTGCTGCCGATGTATCCTTCGAAGAACTCCGCGACGACCCGGGAGAAATACTCAATCGGCCCTGGTTCCTGTTTGTCGATCATGGCGAAGTGGCCAGTCATGAGTAGGGTCGTCCGGAGTACGTTCTCTTCCCGATTCCCATTCCGAACACAGCCATCGAAGTCGCTCAAAAACTCTCGAATACCAAAATGGAAGAACTCCAACGCGTCCCTGTCACAGGCGATGGCAGCCCAATCTGAAAGTGCCGCAGCTGTGACGGCATCTCCTTCTCTCCATCCGTGTCGGACAGCCGTGAGTTTCGTGTCCATGCCGGTGAAGACCGTGATGGCCAGCAGTGCCTGGAGATCTCTGGGCGCAACCTTCTGCAAGATCTGCGTCGACAGGTCGCCCATGGCCTTCAGCCTCTTCGGAATCCTGGCGACAACCAGTCCCAAAAAGAACACATGGTACAGTTTCGCCCATTCTCGCAGTTCGTCTGTTTTGTTCTCCTGGACGAGCTCCTGCAGTACCGACAGACTGTCCCAGCGGTTCAACGCCACAAACTTGAGATAGAGGGACATCAATTCGAGAACGAGGGGAAAGCGAAGGGAAAGGCCCAGCCCTTTCATGACCAGATCGACAAATCGCGACGAACGCTTGAAGCGTGCGAGGAAGACCTGCTCCTGGAGCCCAAGTAGCTCTTTCACCCTCTCGTCCATCGGATCCGCAGGTCCTCTCAGGGAAGAAACTCCCAGAAGAGCTGGCAATTTGTCTACGCGTGCTCCGTGTTCAAGTAATTCCTGTGTCATTTCTCTCGAATTTGCCAGAATGGCTCGCATCAACGGCGTGTCCGTGTCGCCATGCTCCGCCTTGGCCTCGAGACGGGCGCCGTTTTCGAGCAGCACAGACATGACGCCCCTGTGCTGTCCGGTGACCGCTATATGGAGTGCTGTCAACATGCTTCGATCTTTGAAATTGACACGCGCACCATGGTCAAGCAGCAGTTCTACCATATCTCGGTGACCTTGGTTGACGGCCCAGGACAGCGGCGTCCGGCCGTAGTTGTCCTTTCGCGAAATGAGACGGGCATGCTTGCTGATCAACAACTTGGCCCAGGGTACGTTGCCAAAGTATGCCGCGAGATGCAAGAGTGTGAAGGAGGGCGGGCTTCCACCGTTCTTCTCCTGCTCCCAGTAGACTTTCCACCATTCGCCCCGGATCGGAGAGTCGACTCGGAAGAATGGACGTGAGAACTCGGACAGTGTATCGATCACATGAATGGCGTGGTGGAAATGCACCGGCCAGTACTGGCTGGCATAAGATAAGAAGGGATCGTAGCCAGACATTTCGTGAATCCTTCCGGGATTTCCGTATCCGCGTTCGACGTGCGCTAAGCAGGTCTGCATGAGAGTCCTGTGGGTATCCTGGCTCATATGGAACATATTGATCCCTTTGATTTTGACTTGATCGCTCTGGAAGAACTCCTTCGCCGATTCGTGAACCAGGTTGACGACATCTCCTTCGACCTTCACGAGCAACCCACCGAACTTGAGAAGATTCTTGGTCACTTGCGTTGCTGGAAGAGTTTCAGTCTTCTTGATCCCTGCGGCCACGGTCAATTCTTCCAGTGTGAGGGGCCGGGCAGCGAGAACGACCCATTGAAGAATCGGGACCAATGCTTCCTTGTCGCTGATCTGCTGAAGAAGTCGCTGATAAATCCCGCCCAGGCCTTTGGGAACATGGCGGAGAATGTCATCGATTTTGCTCCAACTCCTGCCCTGAAGCTCATTAGCAACGAATCCAACCCACAGAAAGGTCCCATCAGCGCCAGCCAGCAAGGTCTGCTGAACCTGCGCGACCATCTCTGCGGAAAGGTTTTGCTCGGATGCCAGTTCGGCAACTTTGGCGAAGATGTATCTCTCGACATCATGGGATATTTCCGTGTCGGAGGTGTCTAACTGTATCCGCTGATATTGGCCGAGTTTGCTCTCCAAAACAGCCGGCTGAGGTCGAGAGAGGATGATGAATTTCAGCCGTGGCCTTGCCGTTTCCCCAGTCTTCGACAAATAATTCCCAACGGCATCGAGAAGCTGACTGAGTGATTCCTTTTCGCATTCATCCAGACCGTCCAGAACACAGACTACCTGGGAAGACCTGCTCTGCTGGATTAGGATCAGGAAAGCTCTCCACAACGAGACGAAACTGGAAATAGTATATTTCGTTGTTTCCGTCCCCTCGAAGGAGTTCTTAATGTCCTTGGCCAGATGCGGATGAAGGTCGATCCATTGATGCAGGATGCCTCTCATGATGGTTAATGCAGTATTCCGATTCTTGTCACGGTTACTGCAGAAGTAGTAGAGGAGAACATTATCGGCGGCGGCGCCCACTGGCTGTAGCATCTCGGTGATGTAAATCGCTAGCATAGTCTTCCCCTTTCCAGGGCCACCTGAGATCCAGAGGAGTGGCTGAGTCGCATCTGTCAGCCATTTTTGATAATGGGGATGCTGTATGAGCCACTCGCAGGTGCCGTCAACCCTGCGCCCTTTCAATGCAATGAGGGACTTCCGATCAACTTCGGGTCTTGTCAGAAGCAAAGCGTCAAGAACAGGCGCGGCCTCGGCATACGAGTTTGTGGCCAGAGGTATCGTCTTGGACACTGTGGGTATGAAAGAGAGGACCTCTTTTGCATACGCTGCGGCAGCTGTTGCGGCGTAGGCGTGCCAGAGCTCGGACCTGTGCGAATCTGCGTAGTCGGAAATTCCTCGGATGATCAAGTACTGGGCGGCATCCCTCAGCCCGGCTGCTCCCGTCTCGAAACAGAGCATGCCATGCTTGTGCGCGAACTTGTCGCGGGTCGCTCCGTGGCGCGTCAAATGGCAGCTGGAGGCAATCAGGCCATAATGAACTATGGGGTCCTGCACCTCCCGAGGCTGCCGGGATCGGATCCTATCCGGATCGCAATGACTGCATCCGCTTTCTTCGGATTCAATGGTTGCATGATCATAATCCGGCTCGAAGAGGACGTCTTGCTCTGGGCCAGGGCGGGCAAAGGTGACGGGATCTTTCTGCACGATCTCGGAGATGTATCGGGGCATCTTACTTTCATCAAAAATGGCGGCTGTCTCGGCCTTCCCCATAGCTGTGAGAAGCAATGGTGTTGGCTGATTTAACACTCTGCTGCGAACAAACTGATCTTCCGTTCGCTCTCCGTTCACGTCATACTGGATGACACCCGGCCGGCCAGCTGTCGGCTTGCTGACAACAACATCACCAAGGCGAATATCCTCCTTCGTATCGGGCACCCCTCCCGCAATGCCGACCATGAGATTAAACCGGACAGATGTGTAGCTTCCGTGCAACTGTGTGGCCACGTCGGCCACCGATGTTGTACCATACGCCTCTGAATCCGGATACGCCACAACGACATTGTGGCCTTCAAGACTGCCCAGAATGTAGTTATTGTTATCGTCTGAGTTCCGATCCAGAGGTAGATTGTCATGGACTCGATCAAGCGTTGCTTTGGCTGCGGCGACCTCTATCGGCAGTGCGCAAAGCCACCCGACTGTGTAATCATCGCGGGACGCCATCTCCGGCCAGGGTGCAGGTCAAGAAATGAGACCCCAGGAGTGTCGGTGCCGAGGCGTTGTGTTAGGTATGTCGAAGCTGGCTTGACTGGCTGTCCTTTGTCAGGACGAGGTAGACTTTCCTGAACATTGCGAGCAATGATTCAAACAATGAGAGCAGCAACGAACATGCGAGGGGATAGGAGGCTCTCGATCAGCGTTCTCCTTCAGCCTCGTCATGGGCGAGCAAGCGACTTGCTTGGGCCCACTCGCACCTTCACACGTACTCGGCCAATTTCCGTCGTGGGGTCTTGGAGAACGGCACGGGCACGGGAGTACCCGTAACGGTGCCTGACACGACCCATGTCATGGTCCCCCCAGGCAGCCGCCAAGGGGCATGCAGGTTCCCCACTTTTGTCGCGAGGACCAATTGCACAGTTTGAGGCTGACCATCCTGGCTTGAACAACGCGATGTGGTTGGTTCCTGCTCCTTCCGTCACACATACGCGAGCCGCCCAGGCCGTAACAATGCAACGAAAAGATGCGGTCAGCAATAAGTGAAGCAGCAAGGCTGGCGCTTAGCAAGAACAACTGAAGAAAAGGGCAGTCGTGCAAGACACAAAGCAAGAGGTAAACCTCTGTCTTCTCTTGCATTTCCACTTCCTCTCAAAGTCCGGCCTCCCCACATTACATTCTCGTCAGACACGACAGCAAATGGCATCCACTCCCCGTTTTCGCGTTACGCCCCCGCATCCGCCAGAGGCGCACAAAGGGCGGGTTATGGAATCCATCAGCGACACCGCATCCAAGGCCGGTAAGGCAGGACGCCCAATTCTTTTCTCCTTCGACGAGATGCCGGAGTGGTTCCGACGTGAATCCAACCAGTGGATTCTCCATGGTTATCGGCCCATCTCAGGCTCGGCTCACGCTTCGTTCTGCAGTTGGTCGTATATCCACAACGAGTCGGTTAACATATATTCCCACCTCATCCCGGCCGTTTTCTTCCTGCTCGGCGAGTGGTATATCCAGCAGTACCTTGCCAGCAAATACTCCGGGGTCACTCGCGCCGATTTCATTGCTTTCTCTATCTTCATGTTAACGGCCGTTACGTGCCTGTCGCTGTCGGCGACGTACCATACCTTGATGAACCACTCCCAACAAGTGGAACATTTCTGCCTGCGACTAGACATGCTAGGCGTAGTGATCTTCATACTAGGCGACCTTGTCTTAGGCATATATATCATTTTCTGGTGTGAACCTTTGCCACGCAATATCTACTGGTCAACGGTCAGTTAATCTCCATATGAAAAGTTTTGTTTTTCCTTATCTCAGACCTGGTCCTTGAGTCTAACACTCTTCTTTCCTCGGTTGATAGATTGGAGTTTTCGGGACGTTAACTATCTTCATGACAATGCATCCCAAGTTCCAGGGCTCAAAGTATCGCCTCTTCCGAGCATTGATGTTCGTGGCAACGGGCTTGTCTGGTGTTGCGCCCTTGATCCATGGACTCAATGTATTCGGCATGTCACAGATGATGAGAAAAGCCTTGCCCTATACTCTGGCAAAAGCAGGCTGCCTTCTATCTGGGACTTCGTTTTATGCAGTAAGTCTCCCAACGTCGCACACGAGAGAAATTTACCCTAACACGTGGTTCTGAAGACTAGGTTTCCCGAAAGTCGATATCCTGGCAAATTCGACCTCTGGGGCTCCCATTCGATCTTTCACATCCTGGTGGTATGCGCCGCTGTGGTCCAATTGATGGGGTATCTGGATGCCTTCGACTATGCTCACGCAAATCTTACTTGCTCGTCTCTTTGAGTTATGCATACATGTACGGTCAAGAGGGGGCGCCAGCAGCAAGGCCAGCGTCGTTATGTCGGTAGCTGGAACTTGACCATGCGTCCAAGACGGGGGGCGGTAAACGGACAGTGGAGGAGCCTGACGGAGACGTTTGATTTGGGCTAGGATCCCGGGGCAGCAGAGGACATCCAGACAGAGGGTCCTGGGGAAGGGATTCCGAGACGAAGGGATTCTCAGGGAGGGTACCAGAGAAAGGACAGATCAGGACTGAGAGAGATCCTAGCGGACAGCACTTCTTGACCGAGCAGAAGCGGGTGGGTGCCAACGGACCGGTATTTGAGCCAGTCGCGGCGGCGGGGTGGACGACGCCTTGCGCAATGAGAAGGGGAAGCCTGTTAGCACAGAATTGGACGCGGACATTATCTGGAGCATCGGCTGCGGCAGGGCATTGATATAGAGTCAAGCGTCTTACTACTAAAGTGGTGTGTGCGCATTGAACGGAATAGAGGGGGGAGATAGGAGTAGGTACTTTTGGCAGAATTCCCAGCGCCTCTCCGAGCAAGTCTAGCGTCTAGCCGTCCATCTTTCCTTGTGTCCCGAGTCGAAGCTCTGCTAACCGAAATCAGACTGAGCCTGGAGGCCGTCATCGGCTCCGTGTCTGAAAAGGAACCGCCATCGTACCGGCAAAAGGCTGGAATTTTGAGCTTGGATTTCTTCTAGCGAAGCGGCTTTGATTCCATCCCCGGTTCAGGCTTCTTTCTGAATATTGGGGATGCATCTGTCAGGCTCGGTGCGTCAAACGCATCATCATGCAAAGCGAGAGCCAAGATTATTCAGACGGCGCAAAAACTAGCTCTTGGGCGGGCTTAAAGTAGATGATGGTCCTATTGAGAAGGTAAATACGGATCAAGGTCTCAAGATTCTTTGACGGGAGTACGTACGATCTGGGTTTGTTGTCTGCCCATGAACTTGATGGACATGACGGGAATGCACCGCTTAGGATTAGAGTGCCGCACGATGATCATGTCGACGTCCTCGTAGCAGAAAGCCTTTGGACGCCGGCATGCTGTAGCCTCTCGAGACAAGAGCTCTTCGAGCATCTTAGAGGGTATTTTATCCACCCCTGCCATCCTGTCCGATGACAGGACCACCTGCTAGCCGAAGACCACTTCGGCAGAGCCGTCCTTTGGCTTCTCTCTCCCCATGCACAAGCTCGGCAGATCTGGCTCCAGTATAACATAGGAGCTGGTAGCAGCAGGCTAGTTCGATGCGGTGTCTTTCGCCCGGAAATATCAACGCGTCGTAGGCCATGTTGAACGGCTCAGGTTGACATGTAGGTAATCAACGTTGAGTACCGGTTTGTGCGATCTTACAAATGGCGCTATAGTACTATAACATATCAGCGGGAGACAGGCATTAAGAGATGAAGTGTTTCCGTACATTGAGCGCTTCCTTCGAGTCGGTGTTTATGTTCTGGCCCGTAGTATTTGTGTAGAGCTCCTTGGATTGACGGGTACTCCCTTAGGCCTAGCCCTGCGAAGTATTCTTGTACCGTTCACACATGTAGAAAATAAAGGTCTCCCATTGTCGCGGACTGCAGGTTCTCGATCGTCGGTTTGAAGTGGCAGGATCTGCGTGGCTCGGTGCAGATGATTGCGGACTTATATTTGACTTGGTGCTTCCATTTCTTGAAAACTCCACAGACGTTGATCTGCGTCTCGTCGGAATACCTCGGCTAGATAAGGCTGACCGACTTCATCTGTCCGTATGGGCGGCATGTTGTTCGGATCTCCCTCTGCCGCGCAGCGCGATTCTGCGAATCAATTGGATCGGTATAAATTACCAACAGTTCAGCCATTAGATAGAAAACTGCAAGAGTCTTTCGTTGCCCACATTCACTGGGGACCTTCTGCCCGGTCATCGGTCAGATACGCATTCGTGCCGTGCGACGCCTTTGTCGGCGGCAACGGAGAGTGGGAAACGGTCTCCAGGAAGTTGGTCCTTGATGCTGACCCACGGCAGGGGAATGTTGCCTGGAGATGTCTCCACTGGGGCTTTGGGGTTCCACGTTTCCTGACCGCCAGTCATTCGTCGATTTGTGGTGACAGGGGCTGGTTGGTTTCCAAGCAGCCAATCAGCGGTCCAAATCACTCGTCGCGTTGGGCGACGCAATGCTCCAGGGCGTTGCAGACACCTGCAAGACGTAACGAGCGGTGGCGACAGATGACCCCGGCCTGGTGCAAGACATCCTTTCGGCAAAATCACTTTCCAGGTCCGGCGTGGAGCTGAATAATTGTCACCGCACCGACGATGTGAGCATGCGACAGATGACTTCTCGAGAGACTTGTGTTGACGGGGCCACAGCTTTGTACCCGGTGTGCTTTGCCGAAGCGGAGCAGACAGGTACGGTAGTTGTTAAGCACATGTTCGTGCTTCGTATTCTTCACATTCTGCTCAACATTCTCAAAGAATATCCTGCAACATCTTGGCCTTCACCTCGCAGTCACTGACCCAGGGCTGGATGGCCTCTTTCGATGATTCTTCCAGAGTCGGCATAGGAGCTGATCATGAGCTAGGTTCAGTGTCTTTTGCGCGAAGGGGAGATGGCAGTTCACTTCGCTGAACTCATTGGGGAGGCCTCCGAGGTGTTGGTTCGCTATGTATGCCATAGTAATGGCTTGGATGAACACAAATCGTGGATGCAATCACACTGAGAGGATCCATGTTGACCGTCAGGTTATTGGTCTGTCGTGAACCTGTTGCCGGCTGCCTGCACATGCTGTTGAATCGTTGTGTCAGTGTCACGTGCGCGGAGCTGGTTGCCCCTCGCCATTGGATTCCAAGGCAGCGATGCGGAGGACCTGATTGGGACGCCGACACTACGTAGCTCGAAGGTATTTTGCACAAGAGGCGATCTTGGTTCCTTTAGATTCCTTTAGATATGGAGTGAGGAAATTGCAGGGGACTAAGGCTACCGAGGTGGTCATGGCCAAGGAGCTTTCAGAAGCCTTGCGGCTGACCAGGAAACCAGGCGAAGACATGCAACGAGGGGTGCTCACAGCGTTTCTCAGCTGATTCTCTACCGGGCGCCCTGACGCCAATGGGTCTGACAGTTGCAATGCAGCAGCGGTGGAAGCAGGTGGGGCTGTGTTCCTTGTTGGGGGCGTAAGCCGCCGCCACGACCCTCCCGCAAATAAAATGACTGCCATTGGCTTGCCCAGTGCAACACTCGCTGCGGCTGACCGTGGCGCGCGGCTCCAGGCTCAAGTGTACTGGCACATCAGGAAGCGGCCATGATCCTATTGCACAGCACAGCGGCCCGAACGGCGGGAGGGCTGCTCGTCGCGGTCGTAAGACCACAGAGCCAATGCTTATCGGCACGGATCGTAGCGTCGTCTCTGACGCCTTCAGTTTCGGCATCCGATGGCAACGAAACAGGCGGCTAGAACCCCGCTTGCGCCCGCGAGTTGGGCCGCAAATCACGCCTCCCATCGGCGAATAGTGCGCCACCACATCCCCGCCGGTGGTGTGCAGTAGGCTTTTCAGGCTCAGCTTTCAGCCGCACCACCATATAACAGCGACAATACCACACTGCCCCGCCCTACCCTGCGTTACCAAATGCAGGGAGCCTTACGAGGCGCACTTCTGAGGCAGCGTCAATGATAAAAACTCCGGCCCATCCTCACCATCAGTCCAAAACTTCGTCGCCGAAATTCAACAAAAAAAGACACATTAGTGATCATGGCGACACAAGCCAGGTTGAACGATCTTAAGCATGCCTGGCAGGGCTGTCAATTGCAAGACGGCAAGATCAATAGCCTGATTCAAGTACGTTCACACCTCGTCCAGGATCTCTCACGTTCTCCTCACAAACAATACCCTCTAGGACCTTTTTGACTTGCTCTCTGAACAAGAGGAGAAGATTAGGGAGCTCAGTGGCAGGCTGCGGGAGAGAAGCTCAGAAACTTCGAGGGCGGAGACACAAGTTGACTTCACAAACGAGAGGATAATGCCTTTGCACGCAGACGGCCGCACTTGAGCCCAACTTAGATAATGCGTTTTGTCGGAGGTGACATCTGATACGTCGTCGGAGCATAGCTGAAAGAGTTTAATCATCCGCTGCGGTATTATAGGGGGGAATCGTCCGATGGGTGCGTTATATCCGTCCATGACGCATAACGTTTCCTTTATATACTACTGAAACGGGCGTTAGTCGGTCGGTTGCCCTTCGCCGCATGGCACATTCGCCCTAGAAGTGTCTGTCGATACCGAGAAGGGGAATGAAGTTCGACGGAATCGATCTTGAGAGAGTCGGGCAAGTGGCGGGGCCATCGAGCGGCTTGCATGAGCGACGTCCGGATGTCTCTATGCGGCGACACTCGGTCAAAATGTGTAGGCGTGCTTCGTTTAACGGGAAGCTTGACGCGCGCTGGATGAGGATGGCGCTGGCAGGATCGTGAGCGTGTCTTGACGCGGATGGTCGAGGGACTCGCGGCACCATTTACGACGCGAGGACCAATAGCGTGCAGCCATGCAGGGTGACTGCCAACCGCCCCTCCTCTTGCGCTGCAGAGATGCCTGGCTCACTCAGGTCGCGCGACCACACCCGTGTGGCGCACGCGGCTCACCCAAAGTCGCGCGATTGGCTAGAGCGCCGGAGCTACTGGCCCATTTGCCACCGAGTCCCGCTACAACCAAACACGGTGTCTTGCCGTTCAGGCCTCATTTCTAAACCACCAGAGATTTCTGTTGCCAACGCCTCAATCATCGCGCATGCCATGGATTCTGATGACCTAGCATTTGCGACGCCAAACTTGAACGAAGAAGTCGAAATACGCGAAAGCACTAGCAAAACAC